GCCGCCGGCGCTGCGCGCGGGCGAGCGCGCCGCCGGAGGCCCAGGCGGCGGGTCGGGCTGCTGCGCGCTGTCTGCAATGCTCTGAGAGCTCTCCACGTTCCTGATCAGGCCAGGCGGCAGGGGCTCGCCGCTGTACGCATTGCACCCGAGGTGGTACTTGTAGGTGGGGGCGAATGTGATGGGGCCCTCGCGCCAGCCCTGGGGTGCATGTTAACGCGGGGGGCCGCCGGGCGCAGCCCGCGGGAGCGGGGGTCGGTGCGGCCGCCGGGCTTGCCAGCAGCGGCCAGGGCTGCGAGCGGGCGGCGGCGGCTGACAGGGCCAACCGCAAGGATGCCCGGCAGGCTGTTTAGCTGTCATCCCACCGACCCACCCATCCACACATTCATCCACCCACCCACCCATCCAAGTCAAAACCTCAAAAGCCAGCCCAAGCCGCGGCACCCACCTGGAAGACGCGCCCCGCCCCCATCTCACGCGAGAGCTGGTCTGCTGCCAGCAGGCGCTCGTACTGGCCGGCAGAGATAAGCCGCCGCGCCTCCTCATCAGGCATGGCCACGCTGGCGGGAGGGAGGGCAGGGCGGGGCACGGCGGGGGTTACATCGCTGACAGCGTAGGCAGGGTGGGGGAGAAGCTGACGGGAAGGCGCACGCAGGGGCGCAGGCGGGGGACGCCCTGTGCAGCAGCATGCGCCAGGTATCTGCCGAGATGGGGGCAAGGCTTTCGTACCTTGGCTGCAGGTAGCCGCGGCGTATGCTCCCTGCCATCCCTTGAGACCACCCAGCTTTCATGAAAGATATATTAACCGCTCACCGGTAGTTGAGGTCACCCAGCCAGATCACGTTCGAGTGGTCGGTGACGACCGACATGTCACCCCAGTGACCCGGGGGGCCCACGCCTTGAGAGGGGCGGGGGAAAACGGAAGGCCGGCCGGCCGCGTGAGGACAGGATGGGGGGGGGCGAGTGCTCAGCCAATCAGTGACCAGCATGCGCTAGGTCGCTCCTCTAGCACTTGTTGGAGCGCTCAGCTTGCCTGCCGGGGTTACCGCAGGGGTCTTGCGCGAGGCCCGCGGGTCTTGGGGGTGCTGCACCGCCCGCAGCCGTGGCCCCTCAGCCAACGTCCGCCCACGCCACCCCTTCACGCGCCACTCGACGACCCCCCAGCGCACACAGCTGCCCTGCTCGCC